GATTTGCTAAAATTGGAATACTCAGAGTCTGGTGCAGCTGTGCATGGCAGCCAATCAGGTTCTAACTTTAGCTTGTTCAATTAAACCTGGTAGCTGATTTGTTTCTATGCAGAATTGAACCAGATTTTTCACTCTGCAGTTTTATTTAATTATTATACGTACTTATATAGCGCTGTCAATTTACACAGTGTGTTACATACATATATCATACATTCACATCAATCAGTCCCTAACCCTCAAGGGGTGTACAATCTAATACATACTAGGGCAACTTAGTATGCCAATTAACCTACCAGCATGTCTTTGGAGTGTGGGAGGAAACCAGAGCACCTGGAGGAAACCCACACAAGCACAGGGAGAACATGAAAACTCCAGGCAGGTGGTGCCATGGTTGGGATTTCAATCAATGACCCTAGTACTGCCAGGTGGAAGTGCTAACCATTACGCCACTGTGCTGCACAGTAAATAACTCCCTAAGTGAATAAGATGTAAAGGTTTTGGATGTATTGCTACTGGATAATTTTGGATATGGCATTTTCTTGCAATTTTACAGGCGAAGCAAGTTTTGAGGTTTAGCATATTTGGTATAAAGAAAATATGCATTCTATCAAATATATACATAAATAAATAAGATATACTAAGATTTCATATATGATATACATTGCTATAATAATCCTGCAATCTATCCCTAATACATACCTTCAATTTATGTCTGAAGTGTCTCAATTCTTATATAAATAAAAGTCCCCAGATGTGAAATTATTCAGGTTTTAGGGGTAAACTCAGGGCTTAATATAGCACTGTATATCATATATGAAATGTTGACATATTTGGTATCTATTTACTATTTATATGGTTTAATCTTTCATATTCTAAAAAAAAAAATACTGTGTTCTGTGCATTAACATTTATTTTAATTTATTTTTTACTAAAAAATATAGGTTTCGTAAGTATTTCCAAAAATATTGTGCAGCATAAAAATTGCAAGTACCAGCTTTTTTTTTTACAGGTCCTCTTTCCTACTGAAAACATTTATTGTTTAAGGGGTTTTAAGGAAATTTTTAAATACAAAAATGCACATTTCTGCAGTGTATGAAAAAAAAAGTATGGATTCAGCATCAAAAGGGGTTAATAGCCAATGAAAAGGCAGATTCACTTTTACTCACATGTATTTTAGTTTATCATTTAATTTGTAACCGATATACAGTATTTTTGTTATGTCTTTTATAGTATCATAGTTCTCTGGGTTCTAAAATAGAGATCCGATCTAAATGAGAAAGGTGTGTGTCCCATGCAGATTGACTGGTACAGGAATGTAGTTCTTTTCAGTTGTTTATAGCTATTTGCTCATGAAAGCCCCCTTGTTGTGATCAGTAAACCTTAGCTGCTGAGCCATTTCCTTCTCTGTCTTCATATGCAGAGCTCAGTGGTTAATGTTCTCTTATTGCAGGCTTTTTTTTACATTGCAGCCCCTTTCATTCATTCCATCATTTCCATGGCCAAAACCACCTGCAAGACTTTAGAACTTTACAAACATTCACCATTTTAATAGCAGGCGTGGTCTGGACACTTCACATGCAAAGTAGCTGTTCCATTCATATCCAGAGCAATTACACATACACTCCAACCTAACTTGTAGTCTTTGCACACTGAAAACATCAGCTTTACTCAAAGCAGGGCTACAAAGTCAGGCTACAGATAGCTCATTGCTGCTATATACTAAACCTTAGACTAAAGTAAAAAAGTAAAAATTCTGTGTAAACTGAATACAATTAGTAATAAAAACATACTGAACAATTAATCATGACATTCTTTAGCAATAAGTGTATGTGTGTGTGTAAATGAGTGGGTTTTTCTGTCTTCAATTAATTTTATGGTTACAAAAAAGTACTGAACATTTTTTTCATTAAATTCTTTACCTATCAACATTTGTTTATTTAAAAAAATGTTTATTAATATTATTGCTGTGAGTTGTTGTCATTGTTGTTTATATCGCACTTTGAATCATTTATGCACACATATTTTTACAGCTTCCCATGCTAATGTCTAATCAGTAGTTTTTTTCTTTTTTAAGCTCAGAAAGAGTACATACATAACAAGGAAGAACAAATGCAATGACAAATGTATAGTTTATTTGTACAGTTTCGAACAATTTTTATACAATAATATAAACTGCAGTTGAAACAGATAATTTGATATCAAATGGATCTTATATCTGTAAAATGAAAACATGAAAAAAGAGACAATTCTAGAGACATTGGTTTGCCTTTCAGTAATATAACATTTTTCAGGGTATTTAGTGAAATCAAAAGGTCACAAATTGTGTAGAAAACTCTAACACATCATCATCAGCTCATCACTAAAGTATTATAAAGATAGTGAGGATTAAATGATTGACACAGATATACTAGTTACATGTAACACACAAGCGCAAGCACTCACTATTTATTTATTTATCTATCTATCTATCTATCTATCTATATCTATCTATCTATCTATCTATCTATCTATCATCCATTGATAGGTCAATTAATCTTTCTGTTATTTATCTTTAGTCTTTAGTTGAATTGCAAATGACTACCTGACAGCGCTGAGTGTCTTCAATGAAGAGTGTCCAGGCATTCAGTGCTGCTTTGTCTATGAGAGGAGGGGGTGAAGGAACTCCTTCAGAGATTCCAGTCCAGCCACAAAATAACATGTACATCACCATCCAGTTTATCATAACTGTTGCAGCCATCCATCCCAACTCATGGCTTTCTTCCAACAGACCAGTTGGGGTTATTTTATTCCTCCATGGATGTGAGATGGGTCAGTCCCCAGAAGGTGCCACTTTAGCTATATACGGTCTAGCTATAGCTGTTTTCTGGATCCTAAAAAAAAAAAAAAGAAGAACACAAAGATAGGCTATAGCTAAGAGCAATGTGATCCCCATACAGCTTGACCAGTAGAGGACTGAAGCTCTTTTTAGTTGTCATAGCTATCTGCTCATGAAAGCCCTCCTGTGGTGATCAGTAAACCCTACTTGTGGAATCATTTCCTCCTCTGTCTTCATATGCAGAACTTTGTGACTAATGTTCTCTGTTGCATGTTTTTCTTTCACATTGCAGATCCTTTAATGCACTCCATCATTTCCATGGCCAAAACCACCTGCAAGACTTGAGAACTTTACAAGCACACATAATTTTAATAGCAGGCATGGTCTGGACACTTCACATGCAAAATAACTGTTTTATTCACTAACATACAAAAAACATACACTCCAACATAACTTACAGAAAATAAGTTGCAGTTCATAACTACTACTACTACCACTAATATTACTACTAACAATAATAGTAATGAAAATTATAATTATTATTATCTCTTTAGACTGAAAGTAAAATTTGTAAAAAAATGTGTTTTAAAATCAAGTAGGGTGTATATATATATATATATATATATATATATATATATATATATTTTTTTTATATATTCACACACATATATATGTATTATACCGTATATAGTGCTAATTAATGTATATTTGTATTTTCTGTCTAATGTTTATGTATTTTGTGTTACATAAATAAAATGAACATATTGTTTCATGGCATAGCAATCAGCATTTTATTATGATTATTATTATTATTATTATTGTTGTTGTTATTGCACTTAGAATCGTGCAAATATACTGTAGTTACAGCTATAGCTAACCAGGCTAATGTTTCATCAGTTATTTTTTAAAAGGTCAAAAAGTAGTATACATAACAGAGAGAAACAAATATGACAACAGATATAAAATATATTTTTATCGTTTAGAACAATTTTTTCCACTAATAGAATGTATTAGTATGCAATTTAAACATGAATCTTGATATGACATAGATCTGTTACAATGAAAAAAAAGTCTATAAAATTATAGACAAAAGTGTTTGCCCTTCCATTAATAGAACATTCTTCAGGGAAATTAGTAACAAAGGTCACAAATTGTGTAGGTAACTTCCACTATCATCAGTACAGCACCAAGTTATTATAAAGAAAGAGAGAATTTGATTTACTGTATATATGCTAGTCAGATATGAGACAGCAAGCTATCTGTCTTTTTCTATCTATCTATCTATCTATCTATCTATCTATCTATCTATCTATCTATCTATCTATCATGCATGTGTAATGCATGCAGTTGTTCAATATGTGAAAAATGTGGTGTGTGTATTAAATACAATCATTACAATGTGGATTTTTTAAACTTTAATAAATGTCTGAATTAAGTAGAAATAATGCATATAGCTGGATTATGACATAAGTGTATTGTATATCTGCTGATGCGTACCTAATTTCTCACAATTGCAAAGCTTTTCAATGAAGAGGATAAAATGAATGCATAGAAAATCATTAAAAGCTCAGTTCTTTAGCCACAAAAAGTGTAAAACAGCCTGGACAAACATTGATCCACAATAGTGAGCTTAACAAAACCATTGCATGTGTTGTAAATAATGAAAGTTACTAGAGTCTATTGATGTGCACAGCAAGTGTTAATTCCCATCCTCAGGACCACCACTCTTGTTGACCTAGCCCCTCCTTCCCAGGTGCAGGACCCTCTCATAAAAGCTTATCTGGAAGATTATCTCCAATTCAATTGCAGATGACTGCCTGACAGAGCTGGGTGTCTTCAGGGAAGAGACCAGTGTCCAGGCATTCAGTTCAGCTCTGCTTATAAGAGGAGGCAGTGAAGGCATTCCTTCAGAGATACTGGTCAGCCACAAGACAACATAGGAATTATCATCGAGACAGTTCCCCATAACTGTTTTGGACCGTCACCTGTGGCCATGAGCTTCTTCCAACAGACCAATAACTCAGAGGAACAGTTCTTCTCAAGGACCAAATCCAGCTGTGGGGATTCAGAGAGTGACTCATCTGGAGAGAGCGAGAGTGGGTCTACAGAACAGACCATGAACACTGGAGGTAAATCAAAAAGGACTTTGGTGAAACCTCCATATTCATACATCGCTTTGATCACCATGGCTATTCTACAGAGTCCTCACAAAAAACTGACCCTCAGCGGAATCTGTGACTTCATCAGCAATAAATTCCCTTATTATAAGGACAAATTTCCAGCCTGGCAAAACTCCATTAGGCACAACCTATCCCTCAATGACTGCTTTATCAAGATCCCCAGGGAACCAGGCAACCCAGGCAAGGGAAACTACTGGACCCTGGACCCAGCTTCAGAAGACATGTTTGATAATGGAAGTTTCCTCAGGAGAGGAGGAAACGCTTTAAAAGACACCACAACGAATTCATCAAAGATAGCTTGATGATCTACCCTCCCTTTCATTACTACAGACCGTACAGGGCCCTTCACCCACAGACGTATGTTCATCCCCATGTCCTAACGCCATTGCCCATAACTGAAAGACTAGTGATCCCTGCACACCAACAGATCCCTTACCAGGATATGCCTCATGGGAAACTCCCTAGCAACATGCAAGGACTAAATATACAGCTCAAACCTCATGCTTTGGGCAACCAACACTCTCCAAACAAATGCTCCTTCAGCATAGAGAGCATTATGAAGAAAACCAAGGAGCCAGAAATTTCTGTTCCAGACCTCCAGCAGTCCTGGAACTATAATCATTTTCAGCAAAGGTCAGCTTCCATGCTGCCAGCTATACTTAACATAAATGCTGGACCTCTGGTATCATCCTATGGAGCCCGTCAGTACTGCCATATGAGGTTCCCTGCTAGCTTGTAATGTGTGTATATATATATATATCCTGTCCTCGAATTAACAGCAACTAAACCTGAGCAATCACGCTTACTGTGCTGCTTTTTCCTTGTATTTAATGGACCCCAATGTCTGATCTAGAGAAATGTCTTAAATAATGAACTGGACTATATAAAATCCCACATTGTTGTCACTGCATTGCTATGATCAGGACTTAGTATCAGTAATACACAGTTGGTGAGGAAGGATGGAAATTCGTAATTCCTGTGTGTTTTTTATTTTTGTTTGTTTGTTTTTTGACTCTCTGTGGGTAGAGTGTTGTATTTAAAAGTTTGCATGGCTGTTATGTTTTCCTTGATGTTTCATTGCTTATGGAGATGTAAATAGTTATAAAATATTTATTGTCAGAGAATAATAACATGTGTGGTAAGTCCATACAATAAAACTTTTTAATAGTATTAAAAAGGGGTGATTTCATTTTGTCCTTTTTTTATTTTAAAATAATGCTTGTATTCTTTTTTTGGAGGAAATAGAAATATTATTATATAATAGTTTACTTTCCGTTTTATAAATATGCTTTGCATTACAAGAGTACAGGCCTATAGTAGTCATGTTGTTTGCAAACTGTTGATGCTGTATAGTAATAATAGTTGTATTAGAAAGTTTAGAGCGATGACCAGAGTCAGGAGAGTTTTCAGGGCAATGCGTAGCAGGAAAATGCGGTGTATCTAAGACCAGGTACTTAACATTAGTATTTATCATTTGATACTCCACATTGCAAACAAAACTTACTAGAGTTAATTATATTTATATAGGAAATCTGGTAATATCTGGTTATTGCTGAACTGGTGATTCACTGTAGATTCACTTTTACAAAAAAAAATTGCTCTGATATTGGGGGGGGTTACTTAAACTTGAGCACTCAGAATCTGGTGCAGCTTTGCATGGTAGGCAATCAGCTTCTAACTTTAGCTGTTTAAATTAAGCTTTGACAATGAGCCCCCGGTCATATCGGGTGCGATTTGGCATGCGATTTGCATGCCCCAGGCTACTTGCAAATCATATGCCAAGTCACACCCTATTGTCTGTAATTACAGCAATCATATCGGTACTGTTCCGATTTGGTCGGATCCGCACCGATTTCTAAAGTAGTACATGGACTACTTTTGTTGCGATTTGCATAGACATCTTTTTCAAATGTCTTGCAAATCACAATGAAATCTGCAGGTCACTGTCACTTCACTGTAAGTAGCACGAGGGGGGGGGGGGGGGGGGGGGGGTAGGGGTATGGAGGAGGGGGGTTTCGAGGGGGGGGATATTTGGTAAAACGTGGAATCTGATTGGTTTCTATGTAGAGCTGCATCAGATTTTGCTGATATATTACTATGTCCCTCATATAAAATATAGATGTATCCAGGGGTGGACTGACAACTCATGTGGCCCCCTGGCAATAGGGGATCATGGGGCCCCTGTGTCCTTGCCCAAACTCAAAAAGCCTATGAAAAAGGTACCAGGGGCACCTCATGGGGCCCCCTACTGACCCCGGGCCCAGTGCCCGAGTTTCCAAATGGTCAGTCCACCCCTGGATGTATCCCATCAATCACCTGGGAGCCAGAGACTGGGTAAAATGTACTCCTTTAGCAAAGAAGTATTTTAATTGCTTCTGAAGAACTATATAGAAGAGAAAATACGAATTTTTCATTCATAAAAATAGAACCATAGGAAAATATTTTTTTATCTCAACTAAAAATAGCAGCATTAATCATAGCATATTATTAATAATGTTACCTGGCACTATGTTAAACAGTACTTGATATCTGCCTTTGGTACTGGTATCACTACCTGTAATGTGTTACTCTTTACTTAAAATGCAGATATTTGAAATGCTACCCAGACTCACTATGCCGGAGAACATTTTCATTTTTCCTTTCTGTTTGACTTAATAAAAGTTTTGAAATCTGTATAGCCTTCTGGTTTTACACCTATGAATTTTGGAAAAGCACCTTATATATGTTTATGCATTGAGTTGCCATTCAGATATCAACAATGCACCACCAAAACACAGCTGTGTCGCAGTACACCTCAACACTGATGCATTACTAGTCATTGTGATATGCTACATTAGAAAAAAAAGTGCAGGTACTTTTTTTTTTCTATCAATTCTATTGCGACGCTGAAATACATGTAAATGCGTGATATAACGTGCGTTAATGCTACACACCAGGATGGACAGGTAAGAAAACTTATACTAAAATACTGATTTGTTATCTTCTTGGAAAATAGTGAACTGAACTTACCCGCAGAAGAACAGTCAGTGGATATGATACACCAGCAGCCCTTGCACACTCACATCCCTTGGATGCCTCTACTATAGTAAGGAATAGAATGAGTGCTACATGTTTCCAAGCTTTTACTGAATGTTTTATTACTGAACTTTATTACTGTCAAGACCAGGGTCTCTAATAATACATTACCAGAAGGGAAAGATACTTTACATTACTTTTTGCTAACTGCTTTATATAGATTCTTCATAACGGTAGCAGAGTGCCATTGATCAATGCAGCAAGTTTGCTGTTTAAAAGACCGTTAGCAGGCCTAACATTTTTAATTTTATGCCTTGAAACCAGGGGTGGACTGACAACTCATGGGGCACCCAGGCAATAGGGGATCATGGGGCCCATGTGTCCTTGCCCACACTCAAAGCACACCCAAAAAAGCCTATAAAAAGGTACCAGGGGCATTTCATGGGGCCCCCTACTGACCCTGGGCCCTCGGGCAGTGCCCAAGTACTCGAATGGTCAGTCCGCCCCTGCTTGAAACTCTAGATCCCCCCTAATAACACTTTTAGAATTGCCCTTTTTTTCTTGAAAATATTCTGCACTTTTCAAGTTACAAGCATATTAATTTTCACAAGAATTAAATGTAGGCACTTCTGGCAGTGTTGTGTGTGTGTGTGTGTGAAAACACTATCATGTCTATGTCTTTATCTGGGGCACAAGCAACATCAGCCTCTCCCCAAAATAAATAGCCTCTTTTAATAAAAACATGAAACAAAGGTTTTAGATGTGACTTTCAAGTTTGTACTAAAGAAAATTCTGAACAACCCAAAAATTTTAGATCTTTATTGACATGTATAAATATATTATGTAGTTTAGGGTGGAAATTGGGGATTCAGTTAAAGGTGGGGTTTTATGTAAAGGGAATATAGCTTTGGTGAAGTTGTTGCATGGATACAACTAAAGTTACTAGACTGGATTCTAAAATAAAAAAAAAATTGAAAGATAATCCTGTGTAGGTTTCCTTCAGGTACTCTGCTTTCCTCCCTCACTACACAGACATGTTGGTAGGTTAATTGGCTCCTGTCTAATTTGGCCCTAGTATGTGTATGTATGAATGTGAGTTAGGGACTTTAGATTGTAAGCTCCTTGAGGGTTAGGGACTGATGTGAATGTACAATATATACTGTATATGTAAAGAGTTTTTTAAATTAACAGCGCTATATAAGTACCTGTAATAATAATAAGAGGAAAAGTATATAGAAGGTATAATGGACCTAGTCAGTTTTAAATAAGCACTACTATTTATTTAAACATCTGTTTATTGTGACTTCTATGGACCTGCTTTATTCTAACATTAACCTGTCTCTATACCAAAAAAAAAATATTATTATTGGTACTTCTATAGCGCCATCAATTTACACAGTTCTTTACATATATATTGTACATTCACATCAGTCCCTAACCTTCAAGGGGCATACAATCTAAGGTCCCCATTCATACATACACATACTACGGCCAATTTACCTACCAGCATGTCTTTGGAGTGTAGGAGGAAACTGGAGTACCCGGAGGAAACCCATGCAGGCACAGGGAGAACATGCAAACTCAAAGCAGGTGGTGCCGTGGTTGAGATTTGAACCAACAACCCTAGTACTGCCAGGTGGAAGTGCTAACCATTTAGCCACTGTGCTGCCCAAATATATTTTTTATCTTTATGTGTGTGTAATAGTCCTTAAAATGAAGACACTGCTAGCAGTATGCACGCTACATAAATCTTTTATTGCAAAGTATTAACAAAAATTCATTTAAAAACACATATTCTTGGACTGTCAATTTCCAGCAAATGCATAGGATATATGCATAGGATATATAGATTTTGCTTCAGCCAAATGGCTGTGGTTTAAAATCCAGCACCTATTTATACATCAACTTCAGTACAAACAGCCTGCCCATAGATGGATCGAAATTCAGCCGGTTCCTACTGAACTGGGTTGCTTTCGATCCGTCTATGGCAGGCCTTAGTGGTCAGTGTTAAATAAATGCTCCTGCATCCATGGAAGTCATAAATGCCCGTACGTGGTGGTCCACGGGAATATAAAAATGACCATGCATTAGTGGTTAAAGGAGTAAAAAATTCCCCTAAGTCAGTGGGAATGCCTGTATCAGTGGTCAATGGGAGTTAACAATGCCCCAACATCCATGATCGGTGGAAGTATAAAATGTCCTTATATCCATGGGCAGTGGTAGTAATAAATGCCCCCCCGCCAGTGGGAAGTCCAGAAAAAATCATAACCCTGGCTCATAAGCTTCC